CTCACCCTGAAATGCCCCCCTTTCCAGTCATCTCATTCAGTTTTCTCCCTTCCATCCCCCACCCCATCCCTCAGGTTCCCATTTACAACCTGCTCCCAGTCTACCCATAAAATCTCTTCCTAGGGAGATGTGAGTGTCCCCCTTGAGTCCTCCTTGTGACCTAGCCTCTCTGGGTCTGTGGATTGTAACATGGTTATCCTTTACTTTACAACTAATATCCACTTATAAGTGAGTACATTCCATCTTTGACTTTCTGGGTCTGGGTTACTTCACCCAGTGTGATTTTTTTCTAGTTCCCTCCATTTGCCTGCAAATTTCATGATGTCATTGGAAACACTCTTTTTATGTGCACAGATAAGTTGCCACACACACACACACACACACACACACACACACACACACACACTAGAAGAGCCAGGTTGTAAATTTATGTTTTTTTCCTGGAGATCCATTTCAAACTTTAAAAGAACAAAAGCTCATTGTGTTTACATGAAAGAAAGTATTTCTTATTAAGTACATATAATCGGCAACACAGCTTCATAACAAAATGGAAAACCATTTCTAGAAATGAAAGTGATTAAACATTAAAAAATTTACGATGTAGGTAAAATAGGTATATACAATTAATCACCGAAACATACACAAAAAGGGTTAAATTATTGTGGTAGAATTTTTTAAGTTGTCTAAGAGTCACTACCAGTGTATTGTTCTGTTCAGCTATCTTCCTGGGAGCTTTACAAGTCTTTTAGGGATACATGATATAAATTATTGCAAAGATCCACACAAGAGAGAACTTTTCCTAATTTGTAAAGAAGGTAGCATATTCCAGAATAGGAAACATGACAAATATAAGATAAACAGAATGTTGAAGGGACTAGAGAGATGGTTTGGCGGGGGAACGTACTTGCTGTTTAAGCATGAGGACCTAGTTAGTCACGTTCCCAACACACTCACAAACGCCAGGTGTGCTGGTGCATGTCTGCAGCCCCAGTGGGAGGGGCACAGAGAAAGGCAGATTGCTAGCCAGCCAATCTAGCTGAAATGGTGAGCCCCAGGTTCAATAACAGGGATTTGATTTCAAAGAAAAGGTGAAAAGCAACATCAGCCTTTGACCTTCATGTGGATATGTGCCCACACATACATACATACATATACACCACAAACATATAAAATTATAAGCACTTTAAAAATAGAATATTGCTACTCTCACCGTCCATCCTGTCCCCAACCTTCCTTCCTTGCCCAGCCTGCCCAACCTGCTCCCTCAGGTTCCCATCCCCTCCACTGCCCCCCAACCCTGCCCCATTTACACAGGAGATCTCTTCTATTTCCTCTTCCCAGGGAAATCCAAGCATCCCTCTTTGGGCCATTGTTATCTAGCCTCTTTGGGCCTGTGAATTGTAAGTTGAGGATCCTGTACTTTACTCATAATATCTACTTATGAATGAATCATACTGTTTGCCTTTCTGGGTCTGGTTTACCTCACTCAGAATGATTTTTTTCTAGTTCCATATTTGCCTACAAATTTCATGAGGTCATTGTTTTTACCACTGAGTAATACTCCATTATGTAAATGTACCACTTTTTCCTTATCCATTCTTTGGTCAAGGGGCATATAGGTTGTTTCCAGGTTCTGGCTATTATGAATAATGCTGCTATGAACATAGTTGAGCAAGTGTCCTTGTGATATAATTGAGCATCCTTTAGGTATATGCCCAAGATTGGTATAGCTAGGTCTTGAGGTAGATTGATTCCCATTTTTCTGAGAAACTGCCATATTGATTTCCAAAGTGACTGTACAAGATGGCACTCCTATAAGCAGTGGAGGAGTGTTCCCCTTACTCCACATCCTCTCCAACATAAACTGTCATCAGTGATTTTTATCTTAGCCATTCTGACAGGTGTAAGACAGTATCACAGAGTCATTTTGATTTGCATTTCCCTGATGACTAAGGATGTTGAACAATTCTTTAAGTGTATCTCAGCCATTTGAGATTCTTCTGTTCAGAATTCTCTGTTTAGATCTGTACTCCGTTTTTTAATTGGATTATTTGGTATTATGATGTCTAGTTTTTTGAGTTCCTTATATATTTTGGAGATCAGCCCTCTGTCAGATGTGGGGTTGGTGAAGATTTTTTCTCATTCAGTAGACTGCCATTTTGTCTTATTGATGGTGTCCTTTGCCTTACAGAAGCTTCAGGGTTAGGGAAAAAATGTGATTCCAGGGAAACTCCCAGAAATCCACAAGGATGACCCCAGCTAAGACTTGTAGCAATAGTGGAGAGGGTACCTGAACTGGCCTTCTCCTGTAATCAGATTGGTGACTACCCTAATTGTCATAAGAAAGCCTTTATCCAGTAAATGATGGAAGCAGATGCAGAGATCCACAGCCAAGCACGGGGCAGGGCTCTGGGAGTCCTCTTGAAGAAAGGGAGCAGGGATTGTATGAGTGTGTGTGTATGTGTATGTGCGGGAGGGCATCAAGGTCATAACAGGGGAACCCACAGAGACAGCTGACTTGAGATAGTGGGAGCACATGGACTCTGGACCAATAGTTAGGGAGCCTGCATAGGACTGACCTAGGCCCTCTGTCATGTGTGTGACAGTTGTGTAGCTTGCTCTGTTTGTAAGGCTCATATCATTAAGATCAGGACCTGTCCCTGGCACTTAGCTGGCTTTTGAGAACCTGTTCCACATGCTAGATTACCTCGCCCAACCTTAATGTAACAGGAAGAGCTAGGTCCTACCTCAACTTGATGTGCCACGCTTTCTTCAAGCCCATAGGAGGCCTGCCCCTTTCTGAATGGAGAAGGAGAGAATGGGGAGGGAGGTAGATGAGAGTCAGGGTGGGAGGAGTTCAGGGGGAGAATGGGAGGAAAGGGGAGAAGGGAAACTGTGGTCAGTATGTAAAATAAATGAAAAAAAGGGAATAAAATAGAATAAAATTGAAAAATAGGATGTTGTAAAGCAATCTCATTGTTAATCAAGTTTCTAAAATTATGAATATTATAAGATTTAATGCAGTAGCATATTAAAAAGTGGTGTAACTTAAGTGAGTGATTGCTAACAACTGCTTTTGCCACCACAGAGTTCACATGCCAAGGATGCTTCCTTCATTGGTGCTTTTTATTGAAAAAGTGATTCCTTTTTTGTTTTTGTTTTTGTTTTTTTGTTTTGTTTTGTTTTGTTTTTTGAGACAGGGTTTCTCTGTGTAGCCTTGTGCCTTTCCTAGAACTTACTCTGTAACCCAGGCTGGCTTCGAACTCACACAGATCCACCTGGCTCTGCTTCCTGAGTGCTGGGATTAAAGGCGTGCACCACCATCACCTGGCAAAAGTGGGTAGTTTTGCATCCCAGAAATACAAAGGACTGAAACCTGAATGTTAGCCATTTCTACTCTGAAATAGTCCCTGAGTCCCTTCTGTTTCCCACTTTGGAAGATTCTGCCAGGCTGTAATTCTGAAGTTCCTATTCTTGGCCCACAGGATATTGTCCTCCTGGTTTTATACTCGGGTTTTTTTGGCTCTTCCCCTTCGACAATCAGCAGGCTGGCTTTTTTTTTTTTTTTTTTTTACTTTATTTTCTCAGGATCCACTTTATTTATTTTTTTTTACCTAAAGTAGCTAATTTTTGCTTTCTAACACAAATTTTGGAACCACCTACTTAAAGATAATGGATTTTTAGTCCAATAAAGGATATTTAGAAAAGTCTGTGAAAATATAATTTTCTTTCACACTGATTCAAAACAAATAGAAAGAAAATTGATCAGATTGTTAGTTTAATATCAGTAAATTTTTCTTCTATAAGTCCATGAAATTGGCTCAAAGCTAATATTGCAATTAGACAATGTGTCTAAAAATCTGCAGATCCAATAACAAGTATAACAATGCTTGTGAACTATCTTCTTCCTTTTATAACCAGTCGGCTCGGCTGCTGCATTCAGCAAATGACCTAAATTATGACCTTGGAGGTGAGAGATTAAAAAATTAGGGTCTGTGTATGCTTGTTGCTTTCCATAAAAGAACACAGAAACAAAGGCCTCTTTGCTCTAATTCTTTTTTTTTTTAATCCACCCTACAATGAATATGTGTGTAGATTGTTGGATGTCAGTTTACACTTTGAGAAGGAAATTAAATTCTAGTTGGAAATTCCTTCTGAGGGAACATGCTGCTACTGCCACCTGGGGGAAGCTCTTTCCTGCTTCATCCAAGACAACTAATGTTCTCACAAAGGATAGAGCCCATTCACATCTTCCTTGTCAGATCCACACAGGAAGAAGTTCCAGCTGTCTCCAGATTCCCTTCACAAAAGAACTACTCAATAGACTTCTTGAGAGCTATAAGAGAGGACCAGAATGTAATCACAATGAGGCTTCTATATCTTATATGCGACATGAAAAAGTTTGGGGAAGTATGGGCTATAAACTAAGAAGTGGAGAAAGTCAAATTTGAGCTTTTAATATCAAAACAAAACTAATTTTAAAGAAAAATTATTTAATGGTAACTTACACTTAACTGTGCACCTTAAATATGTCATCATAGTTAGTGATGGTTATTTGATTATGAAAATTGCATGTCCTCAAAAACGCACACAGGAGATTTTAACAGGTTAAGATGATGATGATGCATTTCAAGTATATGGAAATAAACTAGAGAATTTTTCTCATAAAATTTTGAATTTGTGAATTAAATACTGTTACATACTCTGTAACTATTATACACATGTTTATTGACATTTTTCATGAAGTAGTGACATAGCATTTATCAATTAAAATGGAAAACTTATAACTTTCGCCAAGAATGTTTCATACTTTTGCTGTAGGAACCTTGTTATTTATTAGAAACACAATTAAAGAGTCTAATTCTGGAAGCAGAAGTTTCAGGAAGTATCTATTAAAATTATAAGCCTGTCAAGTAACGTCAGTAGGCTCTGATTAGAAGACGACAGTTAATCACTTGTGAAGAGGATGTCTGGTAACAGATTAACTAAGAAAAATAATACAGTATCAGTCCCCTGCTGGTACCACAGTCAGGAGACTAAAGTTCATTTCAAAGAATACACTGTACCAGTTCCAAGAAAGTCTGTGAAGAATAGGTTTCCAAGACGGCAAAAGGTAAGTGGCACACGGCTGGTTCTAAAATCTGCTAGATCTGTGATTCAGGACTAGACAGCCGTGAATGGAACTCAGTGTAGGTGACACAATGAAATGAGCTGCATGAGCTGAGATATACTTGAGGGGCGCTGGAACCAGTGACATTTTGTTCAACTGTGTGGTTCCTTGAAGGTATTTGTGATAAGATCTGGAAATACTGGGGTGAGGGACCTTAGAGAACATGTAGGCTACTTAACACCATAAAATAGAATTGTAGATCACAAGCAAAGTAATCTATTACATGTTGAAGAGTATTTATGATTCAGCAAATTGAGGTCAACTGACAGTTTGCCAGTAGTTTTCCTCATCAATCAATGAAAGTGACCAATGACCTTAAAATGCTCTAAGGCTTATGCACTGCATGAGAACTGACCCCTTACCACACAGGTTCTTCAAATGGAAGTTCTTCTGCTTCCTAAATGAACTGCAGAGTTTTGTCAAAGAGCCCACACTTCCCAGTGATCAGCCATGCAATGACTTGTTGTTTCCTAACAGTTATCACAAGCAGCTCTCCTTTCCATTAGATTGTTTCCTGGTTGTGCAACAATGTTTCATAAGGAGAAGCAACAGCCGTCTTTGGCAGCATTTATGTTGCCTAGGAGAAAAGCAGTCCGGAAGCAGGGAAGAGGGAGTTTTGCAGTTGGCACTTGTACCTTCAGGGAGTGAGGAGATGGGCAAGTGGTGGACACCGTTAAAATGTCGAACAGGCAATTCTCTTTCGAGAAACACACACTCATGCTCTTAGGTTGACCTTACTTTGTTCATAAGTATCTCTCTTTCTCTTACTACTTTAAAACTGTGGGCTTCAAAAACTATATTAGAATCACTTTTAATTCTAAGTCTGATTCTTAAAAATTAAATAATACAATACTGAATGAAGCTGGACATGGTGGCTTATGTCCGGGCAGATGAATTCAGGTGAATAGCCCTAAGTTTGAGATCAAACTACATAGTAGTTCCAGACAAGCCTGCCAACCTGAGCTACAGAGTGAGACTCCTGTTTCAAAGTGGAAGGGGGTGCTGGAGAGATAGTTCCATGGCTAAGAGAACTGACTATTCGTCCAGAGGACCATGGTTTGAGTCTCAGCACCCATATTGAGTGGCTCACAACCATTCTTAATTTCCGTTCCAAAGAATCCAATGCCCATCTTCTGGCCTCTGTAGACAACAGACATGCATGTGATACACATACATGTATACAGGCAAACCACTTATACATATAAAAATAAATTGAAAAGAAAATTTAAGAAAAGAGAAAAGATAGTCAAAAATGCTTTTTCTTTCACCATTGTGTTTCTTTCTACTTTTTCAACAGAGAGTGAATTTTAAATCTTCCCCATGGGTTCCTGAACTCAGTGATCTCAATCCCGAACTCTCTCTTCCACCACACTGAGGCATTAAAATGTTCTTCCTAAATGAGTTTATTTTCATGGGATTTGACTTCTCCCTCTTTTTCCTGCTGTCATCCCTTCCTTAGACATTCCTCACTTCTATTTGGTTTTTCTCTGTTTTCCCACTATTGTTCCCATCCCCACTGTTTGTGTGGCATCTGTAATGGAGCACATGGACCTACTTAGGTCACTACAAAGGAAGAGAAAGCACATCACAGGCAGAACAGGAAGCTCTCCATCCATGGATGCTGCATCTGCAGATTCACTCAGTCACAGGCTGAAAATATTCAGAAAATAAAGTCTGTATTGGCCATGTAGAGGCCCTCTTTTTTCTTGTCACTGTTCCCCCAAACAATATAGTAGGACAGTACTTACATTGTACTGTTAGAATTATACTAAGTTAATTTAGGTATTATTTAGAGTATTGTAAAGGGTGCTAAGCACAGGTTATATGAATACTACATCATTTTATATAAGCAACTTGAGAAGGAGCAGGTTTTGGTGAACACTGAGGCAGTGAGTCATTTCCCCCCAGACACTGAGGGACAACCGTACACAGAGTATCCCAAGCCAGGTCAGAGGCTACATATTGGGCAAGTAATGATACCTGACTCTCCTTGTGGTGCTCTTGTTTACCCACAGATATGACAGACACCAACAAGATGACCATCAATTTGGCTGTCTTTGGCAGGACTCAGAGTGGGAAGAGTTCAGCAGGGAATACTCTTTTGGGAAGTGCTGACTTCTACAGCAGTTTCTCTCCAGGCTCTGTAACTGAAGACTGCCACCTGGGCCGCAGCTGTCACCTCCACAGCTTCATGCGTCGAGGGGGACAAGAAGTAACCCTGCAGATACAGGTCCTGGACACTCCAGGGTATCCACACAGCAAGCTGAGCATGAGACATGTGAAGCAGGAAGTCAAGAAGGCCCTGGCACATCACTTTGGACAAGAGGGTCTCCATCTTGCTCTGCTCGTCCAGAGAGCAGATGTGCCTTTCTTCGGACAGGAAGCACCTAACCCAGTCCAGTTGATCCAGGTAATAGAAAGGTGCAATTATGCTGGCATCATTATCGATTCAGGTACTATAAAGATGCAATTATATTGACACCATTATCCCCACCTGGGGGCATTATCTTCATAGGCAAGGCCCAGGAACAAACTGGTTCAGAAGATACTTGAGCTACAAAGTGCAAATCCTACAGCAACAGTCAGTAAAAAGTGACTTGATTTTCTACTGGTTCTATTTTGTAATTTCCTTTAGAGTCGTGGCTCTCAACTTTCCTAATGCTGCGACCCTTTAATACAGTTTCTCATGTGTGACCCCCAACCATAAAATTATTTTATTGCTACTTCATAGCTGTAATTTTGCTACTGTTATGAATTGTAGTGTAAATATCTGATACACTGGATGCCTGACAAGAGGCACCAAGGGGTCACAACAACATTGAGAACTGCTGTTTTGGATCATAGGCAGAAAGTTTTAGACACTAATTTCCAGAAGGTAAGCCTTAAATCCTTAAGAACCTTGGCCTTGACTAAGTTTGTACTAGGTAACTCTTGGACCATCTGCACCAGAATCAGCTGGGCAACTTGTTAAAAACACAGATTTGCCCATGACTATTGAAATAGCATCTCAAGAGTGAGACTTGCATGTCTGCATTTCCATGTTGTTATATAGGTTTATTAAAACAAGGTGAGTTCAAAACTACCAATGGAATACCCACACACCATGCAACATCAAGGGGGACAATTTGCTATAATTCATCAACAAATGCATTTTTACCCACTGATGGTGCTGAGTGCTTGTAGGGACAGGAGACCCAATTACAAAAAGCTTATAATCTACAAGAGGCAAATAAATGTCAGAAATGACAATGGTGTTAACTCCAAAGTAGTGTAATGTGTTAGAGGAGTTATGCAAGACTTAGCATCAAAATAAATGTTGCAGGAAGACCATGCATAACGTAGGACAGTACTTACATTGTACGGTTAGAATTATACTAAGTATAATCTAAATATCATTTAGAGTATTATAAAGGTACTGAGCTTAGGTTATATGAATACTACATTATTTTATATAAGAAACCCGGGAACAAACAGGTTTTGCTAAATGCTGGGACAGTGAGTCATTCTCCCATAGACACTGAGGAACAACTGTACACAAACATCCCAGGCCAGGTCAGAGGCTACACATAGATACCTAACTCTCTTTGTGGTGCCTTTGTTTACTCACAGCTATGACAGATGTTCAGATGAAGGACTTTCCCCCTTTAACAGGAAATGACAAAAGATTGATCCAAATGGCAGATACACAATGTGTAAATACAAGAAAGAAATCTGCAGTTTCCCATGTTTTCCTGCCATGGCAGCCATAGAAAATTCTCCATTACAGTCATGAACTACAAAGACTTTAGACAGAACCAAAATAATACATGCTGCATCTATTTATACTCATTTATTTGTTCATTTGGCATTAGATACTAAGTCCGGAGCTTTATTTATTAGACAGTCCAGCAAAGGAGCTAGGTAAGGAGAAGGGCTTTGGAGGAATAAAGAGGAGGGTATATATGAATACTACAAAGAATACTGTAGGGAAAAGGCCTATATATAATTACTTACAATTCCTAGAAATTATTCATTGACCTACTCCATTCTGGTCTAGCTCCATTCTCTAGAGAGGGTTCACTCAAATTTACTACTTGGGACTGCCCTAGTCACTGTGTTCAGGTAAAGAACTTTCCCCCTTTAACTAACATTTAAGACAAAAGATTGCCCCAAACAGCAGACACACATTTTGTTTCTCCGCAGTTATGCGTGTTTGTAAAGTGTGTGGGAAAGTAGCAGTGGAAAACTTAGAGTGACAAGAGCAAACCATTCACCTTCCAACTCCTGAAGATTCGAGTCATGTTGTCAACAGTAAACAAGATGTCGTAATTAAGATACAGCATGAAATCTAAGGCAACGACACAGCTCCCCACCCCACACTACGAAAACCTGTGTTTCAAAGCATTTCTGGTAGGAATCAAGTAGCAGGAACCTGCACCCAAACATCAGGATAATTTTAAGAACAGATTTAATATCCACTTAAGGCTGCTTTACATAAGTTCAGTAAATTCACAAACAACTACTTCTCAAAAGCCATCCTGATTCTCTCCATATATATCATTATTCTTCCCTGTGAGACACTATGCTGAGGCCAAAAGGATTTCAATATTATACATTTTGAAAATAGATTCTTCCAGTGTTAGTATACAGAACATTATAATCCACTGTTTTGCTGCAAGGCAATTTAACTCACCCTTGTCTCTTTTGAAATGGAACCTGCATAACTTTCTCCAAAAGCTGCCTTCCTTAAGTCATTGTCTATGTCAGGAGTTGAAGACAAATAGGAGATGGGTGTGAACAAAGTTCAGATCCTATTTTGTTTTGTTTTGTTTTTTCTAGGATAAATAATTTCTCTTTTTTTCTGAATATCAGCAGACAAGACTTATCAATCCTCAGAGTGGCCCATGAGTGCTGGAAGTTGTTGCAGACCTGTTTGGGGTCTCTCTTGCTCTTCTTTCTGGTGATGGTCTCTGAGGCCCAGACTGAATGCTTATGACTTTCTTCCTGAAGGTGCCTCAGATACCCATGGTAGCCAGCTGTGTGTGCTCACAGATCAGGAGCAGCTGCCAGATGTCTTGACATTCGACAGGACCAAGAGAAGCTGTTTAAGGGGTTGTTAAGGTTCATGGGTTCCAGGCATGCCCTGGATTTCGTTTTCTTCTTGGCTGATAAACAAGGAGAACGGAGTAACTGTCCTTTCCCTTTCCGGGTAAGGGGGGGCAGGGGGAGTCCTGGCATGGAAGGCCTGGCCTCGTCCTCCCTGTGCCTTTCTGTTGTCTCCTGGTTTGTGCTTTAAGATTTTGCTTTAATATTTGTCATAGGCTGCCAGCTGTGATGATTAAAGCATTCTTCCAAATGATCTTTTTCTTTATTTATATTAGGTCCATACTAGAGATGTCAGTGAGTTGTATCCTCCAAAATGGGAAAGGAAAGGAATGACTCATATGAGCGTTAGTGGGAATATTATTTGAATATTAAGAAGAAAATCCACAAATGTATCAGAGAAGACATAATAGTCTCCTCCAATACAGATGCAGCATGCAGGAGACAAAGTCGCTCTAGGGACTGAAACTACGAACTGACTAGAGTTTATATTCTTTTGTACAATCATGGGCAGTATTACTATTGTGAACAAGCAGGCTTCGAGAATATATTGTTGTCTTAGAATTAACCACTCAGCTGTTGATGCTGCCGGTGGTGGCTCATAATACAACAGGCTCACAAAGGCCAGTGATGGGCCTGCGAGTACTAGACAAATCTCACGGGTCTATTCAGCAGTTAGAACTTACTCAAAGATAAGCCTGATGTTACTAGCCTTTCTCGGTTTTAGTCTCAGTCCCATCACCAAAGATGCTGATTTCATTGATATTAAAGACTTCTACACACTAGTGTTAGTAAATCTGACGTGCTTAGCGCTGAGATCACCTTACAAAGGAGAGCCACTGAAAATGGCAAAGCAGCACTGTTAGGACTGCTGCTCATGTACGCTGAGATGACCACTCATTCCAGTGAACCCCAGAGAGGGGTGGCTTATTACAGAGGTGAAGGACATGGTTTCTGTGTCCAGGCTCCTTCTTAGCTGCTTGTTTGCACCATGACCTTGGGCAAGTAACTTCTCTGAACCTCATTGGTTAGCAGCAAGTGATGAGAGTATCTATTTAACTGGTTTCCTTTTGGACTGTGACATGGTCTCAGCAGTAGTAAATCCTTTAACTAAGACACTGGCACGGAAGTGTACCATAAAAGTTTAGCTGTGGGAATTATCATTTTATATTATGATTAGTCAAGGCTCTGACAGGCAGGGACCTTTTCTTAACATTTCATAAGGCCTGCCAATAATCAGCAATGTGACCACATGACTTCCATCAAGCCATTTAACATCACAAGGCCTTAATACTCTCGTGTTTAAAATGAGATGATTTGGATAGATGCTTTCTTGTGTTGAATATTCCCTGAATCTGACTTGAGGAGTTTTCATTCAGCTTTGACTACCTGGAAAGGAAAATGTGGCACTTTAAAGAGAGATGAGACTAAGGGAATAGCACACACACACACACACACACACACACACACACACACACACACACGACCCTCTTGTTCCATGATAACTTTTTTTCTCAGCTGATGTAATTGTTGGCTTTTTTTCTAAAGTTTCCCCCTAAAAAGTCCAGATGCTATGATTTCATCAACCACAAACAAATGGGGCAGGGCTGGTGAGGTCCTGAGAAAATGAACCATTCCTGGAAAACAAAGTTTATATTCTAACTAGTTGTCCCAAAAGGACTAGATGGACTCATACCTGTGAGCACCATGAAACCAAACCATCCGTGGTTGTAGCATTTTCATTCGGCTTGGTACTATATTGAAACTATTAACACCAGATAAATTACTTCTACTTATTCTGCTCTTGAATTTCTTTTGAGACATTGATCAACTCTGATTGTTCATTCTCTGAGTCCACAGAGACCATGCTTGGCCCCTGACATGATGACTATCTTTAAGTGACACTATTTTCAAACATTCAACTATTTTCTGGCCAAAGACCAATCGAAAGATTATAAAGTAAATCAGCCATTCTTTTCTGGTTTGGGCAGTAACTCAAAAGTGAATTTTCTCTCACAGTTTAAGAGATAAGTATCCTTTCATAAAAAATTACCAGTCTATTAGAACTTCTTCGTGGCTGAACACTTGGACTTGTGAGTGGCATGGAGTTCAATGCTTCCACTCATCTGCCCTGAATGAGGTAACTTTGAAGTATAGGAACCACCTGAAGGGAAAAGGGGGAAGGCATGTTGTTGCAAAGTCAGGAACTGAGAGAATGATGCTACTTACTTTTTAAAGTATTAACTTAGTAAGAAAAGAATCATGTTATGATATGTACACCCAGAAAGGGATGTTGTACAAAATAATATTTTAGCATGTACTTCTATTACAATGATAACTCAGAACTATTTCATGGCAGGTATGGTCTAGGTACCAACCAAAGCCATCAGGATGGTGGGTCTGGTGGTGCTCAAGAGCTAAGAATACAAGTTATTTACAAACTTGTACATAAACATCTTAGTATCATGACAATCAGTATGGCACAGTAATGGTACACTGAGGCTCCAAATGCAAGAAACTTTCAGCCTGAAGTGTGATCAAGGGTCAATATCCGTACCTGAGTGGAAATAAGATCCCAATACCATACAACCCCTACTCTTACATTATGTAAATTCTTTATTTTATGATTATCTATCATCATCATTATTAGGCTATGTGTATGTATTTATGCACAGGGGCCATAGTATGAGTGTAGAGGTCAGAGGTCAACTTGGCTTTTGAGGAAGTTCTAAGGATCTAACTCAGGTCATCATGTTACTGGAATTTTGGGGACCCTTTCATGTTGGCCTCATGAAACAGGGGAAACCCAGGTCCCTTCTTGAGGATCTCAGTCTCAATAATATACTTTAAGAATGATTCAAACGAAAGCTCAAGGACAATTTTATTAGAGCTAAAAGACCAAAATAGAGCGGATAAGTTGCAAACTTCAGCAGCTACTTGAAGGAGCAGAATGGAGGAGGGAAGGAAAAAGCCATGCCCTTTAAACCAGTGTGGAAGTCGGACATATGGTGGGAAAGCAGCCACTTGGTGGGAAGGATGCTGTAGAGAAAGAGTAAGAGAGCCCCCAAACGCTGGGGAAGCTCCAAGTGTTAGGGAGAGCATACTTTTAAAAGAGACTGAAGGAAGCATGGCCATGGCCGGGTAAGCTACCTCACTGTGAGTTGGGGATTCTGGGAAGGAAAGGCACAGCATCTCATTAAAAAGGAAATTATTTCACCTATTGCTTTAGCATGACTTAGGTGAGTCCACCTTCCAAGGGGGGGTCCCTTGGCCTGGCCTAGCTGGGACATTAGGTCGCTACTCAGGCCAGAGAGCCTGTTCTTTTAATGAGAACAAGCTTTCTCCTGATGAGGCTTTAGTGTTACCCAGACAAACAGGCTCAGACTGTGAGCACTTTTATCCCCTGAGCCATCTTGCAGGCCCATGCTAATTCCTTTGTAGCAAATAACAGGTATTTATTGTCTCTTAGTTCATGAGGTCAGAAGTCTGAAATCACAGATTTGGCAAGGTTTGTTTCTTCTGAGAGCCGAGAGCAAATGATGTGTCCCAGGCCTTCTCCTGGACTATTTTCTCCTGCACACGACTATTTCCAGGGTCCATGACCTTCTCCTTATATTTGTGTCTCTGTTTAAATTTTCCTGTTTTATAAGGACATCAATAATTTTGGACCAGGAGCTAACCTAATGACTTTTCCTTAAATTAATCACATCTTTATGACACTCTTTCCAAATAAGGTCACATTCTGAGGGACTGGGGATTGGGACTTGGCATATGAATTAGGGGGAGGACACAGTTCAACCCTAATGTCACTGTTCATGCACAATGCTGCCTGTGTCTCCTCTCGATCAGAGATATGTACAGCACACTGCAAGCACAACAGAGTCCTATGAATGTTCTTTATTCTGACACGCCATGCGTTGTCGACATCAGATAGATACTTAGATTTATAGAGTTATGGTCTTTAGTGGTTGAGCAAACATGAATTTTCGAATGAACTTGGATTGAAAAACACACAAGAATGTGATAAATGAAACTCAGCTTTGAGCAATCCTTATGTATTTACTGTTAAGGTAATGCTGTCTGATAGATTGATCCTGAAAAGTCATCTCATGTTTTTTGAAACAGGATGTTTTAGGAGAACCTGTAACTCTGTGATGTAGGTAGACAAATTCCAATGAGGTACAGGATGTTTTAGGGGAACCTGTCACTCTGTAATGTAGGTAGACAAATTCTGATGAGGTACAGGATGCTTTCAGGAAACCTCTAACTCTTTGGTGCAGGTAGACAAATTCTGATAAGGTACAGGATGTTTTGGGGAAACTGTAACTCTGCAATGTAGGTAGACAAATTGTGATCAGGTGAGAGCAAACAGGTAGACTCATCCCTACAGAAATTTGCTCTGAATGCAGAGTGAAAGCACAGACTGTAAGAAATCTACCACAGTGAGCTATAAAACTCAGTAGTACAGGGTTATGTCCCAGAGAATAAATTCAGAACTGAATCCCCAAAACCAGACTAACTATGTCTGCTATTTGACTCAACAAAGAGGATCCAAATTCCAAAACATTCAGCAGATATTGCAGAGAGTTCACAGTGTGCTGGAACCCTGGGATGACAATGCAGACACAGACCGTGCCTTCAAAGAGGTCACTAAGTTTCAGTGACATATGTATAAATAAATGGCTCTGATAAAAGCCAGACTGTTCCCAGGAGTTGTAATTAGTATTCATAGCCATAGATAGCTCTAAAATCCCTGTCTCAGAGTTTTTATATTAGACCTGCTTGTCCTAATTCCTTCCTTCACTTCCTCTTTACTTTCCTCCTTTCCTCCCACCCTTCCCTTCATTTTACTCCACTATAAATACCAACCATGTATTTGCTGTATACAGTGAGACATAGCTTTCCCGTTTCAATGAAAATATTACTAATGTATAGTTTAGCCTCTCCATGTGTCAGTTTTCGATGTCACAACAGGAACAGTAATAGTATTATGGCAAAGATTCATGTTGAACATCAAAAAGTTATGCGTGGAAAAGCATGGCAGTGCTTGCCTCCAACCCAGCACTAGGGAGGCAAAAGCAGGGTTGGTATGTTTGAGGTCGGCCGTGGGGAGCAGAGAAAGAATCTGTCTCAGAAAACTCAAACCACACCAACCCAAACTGAAGAGAGAACAGGAGGGGAGGGGGGAGGAGGCAGGAGACTAAAGGAGATTGCCCATTTTAAAAGCTTAGCATACTATCTGGCACTAATTCTTCATTTTTTCTGTTTGCTTTCTTCTAGATAGAAGTCCTTGCTATCTCTTGTGTTCATTCACAGACATTTTGCATTTTTAATAAAAGTGTTACAAACTGGTAAATACATCAGTCATGGGCGCATATAGATGGGAGAAAATGTTACTTTACTGTCAGCTGGTTAAGATTTCATGTAAGTTTGGAAACATTCAAAAGTTGATGGTTACTCCTAGACGCCTTTTGCATTGGATGAGCAATATGCCACATGCCGTGGTTTCTGCTTTATATCAGCTAATTTTCACTAATCAAGGAAGAATTTATTACACAACCAACTCGCACATATCACTAAACAAAGGGACAACAGTCTTCAGTGCTTTTCAAGCACATTAGAAGAAGCCATTTGATAAATTGCCTTTGATTCCAGGCATGTGGCAAGAGGAACATAAGGATTACAGTAATCTTGTGTAGCTGTTCCAACTCACCAAATGGATTTTGATCTTAGCTTTTCCGTTACTTGTCATCTAGTTAATCAATGAAGCATAACCAGATTATGTCATTTTAATCCCTTAGTAGATAGTTTAGTGGTGATAACATGACAAAAAAAAGATGCTGTAACAATTGCCTTGCTCAAGGTAGCATGAATTAAAGGAATTGAGTGGTTCTAACGGGGTCTGGTTGTGAAGTTAAATATAAGCAACCACTGAGTGCTGGCCATACTACATTCAGTGTAGCCAGATGCTCTGCAGCATTAAGTTTTTGCATATCAATTACAACAGCAAAGTAAAACAGTGAACTAAAGCCTTTTGTTGTTGTTCAGAAACCTCATCCATCTTCCTCAATGTGCTAACAACACTTGAGCTCATAGCCACTTCCTATTACATATATCAGCTTTCAGAAATATCATGACACATGGATCTGTTGGCTAATGACACTGGATTAATAATGGCTTTGCTCATGTTTGAGGAATAGAGTCCAAGGCAAATAGTCATTTAACTTCTCTCTCTTTCAGGAACTTCTGGGAGATTCTTGGAAGAATTACACTGCTGTTCTTTTTACCCACGCAGAAAAAATAGAAGAGGCAGGGATCAGTGAAGATGAATATTTGCACGAGGCTTCTGATACACTGTTAACTCTGCTAAATTCTGTTCAGCGGAGGTATGCTTTCCTGTATGAAAAAGGTAACTTGTGCAATGAACAAAGATTTCAAGTCTTAGAAAGAATCATGGAATTTATAAAAGAAAATCATTATCAAGTTCTTAGTTTTACATAAAATTTAAGTGAAAAGAAAAGAGCACTGGGTATCACTTAAGGTATGGAAATCTAATTTTAAAATCTTGCCTTTGTTCACATGAATATTGGGAATGAGAATTCCCTGTACTGATGTATAGCCATTTTGGAAAATTGTAAATAAAAAATAATATCAAGGATTCAAGATGTCAAAATTATATTCATAAGTATTTATCTAACAGAAAGTGTGTACATTTGCGCCTTCAGATACATATACAAGAATGCTCATGGTGGCACCATTCATAATAGTTAAGAACTGAAAACCATCCAAACGTTCATTAATAGAATGATGTGCAAATTACAGTGTATTAATACAGTGAGGTGTTACAGTGATGAAAATGAACAAACTCAGTTGGTTGTAACAGTAGAATCAACTGTTTAACTACAATGTCAAGACAAAAGAAAGAAGCCAGACATGAAGTGTGCTTTGTGACTCCATTTATGTAAAGCCCAGAAACAGTCAAAACTACCTAACTACTCTGGAGGTAGAAGTGCTGGGGATCAGGAGAGCAAAAGGATGCTGTGAGATAGCTTCAGAGATTTTGATAATGCTATTTCCTGGTTTGGATGAAAATTCATAGGGTGTGTACCTTGTGAAAATGGAGAAAAATTTCTTGAAGGTTATGAGCCCCTCACTATAGTTTTTATTAAGAAAATTTTTGTTCATTCATTTTATACACCAAGCAAAGATCCCCCCTTTCCTCCTCCCGCCCCACACCAGCCTCCCCTCCCAACCCATCCCCTACTCCCTCCCACAAGAAGGCAAGGCCTCCCATGTGGAGGCACATTCATTAGAGGCAAGTCCAAGCCCTTCCCCCTGACTCAAGGCTGCATGAGGTGTCCCATCATAGGCAATGGGCTCCACAAAGCCCACTCATATACCAGAGATGGATTCTGAACCTACCGCCAGGGGGCCTCCCAAGCAGATCAAGTTACACAACTATCTCACCATGCGAAGGGCCTAGTCCAGTCCCATGTAGGCGCTACAGCCATTGATCCAACTTTCATGAGTTCCCTCTAGTTTGGTTTGGTCGTCCCTGCATGCTTCCCCATCATGATCCTGATGCATTTGCTCATAGAATCCCTCTTCTCTCTCTTTGACTGGACTCCTGGAACTGTCTAGTGATTGGCTGTGGATCTCTGCATCTGCTTCCATCAGTCATTAGAGAAAAGTTCTGTGATGACAGTTAAGGTATTCATCAGTCTGATCTCTGAAGCAAGCCAGTTCAGTTCAGGCACCCTCTCTACTATTGCTAGTAGCACTGGCTGGGGTCATCCTTGGGGATTCCTGGCAACTTTTCTAGCACTGGGCTTTTCTCTATCCCCATGATGTCTCTCTCTATCATAGTATCTCTCATTGCATTCCCCACCTCTCCCTGTTCCAGTTCAACCATCCCATTCCCTTATGTTCTCATCCCCTACCCCCTACCCTCCATTGCCCTCCCCTTATCCCCAGTTAACTCATGGAGATCTCATCTATTTCCCCTTCCCAGGGCAGTCCATGCATCCCTCTTTGGGTTTTCCCTCTTAGTAATCTTCTCTGGAGTTGTGGATTGTTGCCTGATTACCCTTTGCTTTATATCTAGTATCCACTTATAAGTGGGTACATACCAATGTGGTGATATTTTATTTGTGCTGAAATGTGATATTTTATTTGTATGCTAATAAATAAAGTTTGCCTGGAGATCAGAGGTCATAGCCATAAACAGAAGTCAGGCAGTGGTAGCACATGCCCTTAATCTGATCACATGGCAGGCAGAGTCTCTGTGTGGTCAAGGACACAGCCAAGCACGATAACACACACCTTTAATCCCAGTACCAACCATAGAGACCTGGAGGTCTGTATAGACAAGTGATGTGGCTTGGCTTAGAGCCAATGAGAAGGTAGAACAGGAAGGCAATAAAGGCTCAGGTTAGACAGGAAGAAGCTCTCTCTTGGGACACTACAGTGAGGTGGTAAGCTAAGGTTAGTTGGTGGCTATTGCTCTGGTCTCTACGGCTTGTACCTCTGTATTTGGCTTTGTGTTTCTTATTTAATAAGACTGTTTAGAAATTCATCTACATATCATGTTTGTCCTTCTGAGTCTGGGTTACCTCACTCAGGATGGTATTTTCTAGTTCCATCCATTTGCCTGTAAATTTCATGATATCATTGTTTTTCTCTGCAGCATAGTACTCCATTGTGTTTATGTACCATATTTTCTCAATCCATTCTTCAGTTGAGGGGCATCTAGGTTGTTTCCAGGTTCTGGCTATTATGAATAATGCTGCTATGAACATAGTTGAGCATGTGTCCTTGTGGTATGATTGAGTATTCCTTGGGTATATGCCCAAGAGTGGTATAGCTGGTTCTTGAAGTAGATTGATTCCTAATTTTCCGAGAAACTGTCATACTGATTTTCAGAGTGGCTGTACCAGTTTACACTCCCACCAACAATGGAGGAGTGTTCCCCTTGCTCCACATCCTCTCCAATATAAGCTATCTGCAGTGCTTTTGATCTTAGCCATTCTGACAGGTGTAAGATAGTATCTCAGAGTTGTTTTGATTTGCATCTCCCTGATGACTAAGGATGCTGAGAAATTCCTTAAATGTCTTTTGGCCATTTGAAATTCTTCCTTTGAGAATTCTCTGTTTAGCTCTATAGTCCATTTTTAAATTCGATTGTTTGTTATGAAAAGAAGGTCATGGACAGATGTAATGCAGACACTAAGAGACCATGGATGCCAGCCTAGACTAATATACCCAGCAAAATTTTCAATCACCATAGATGGAGTGAACAAGACATTCCAAGACAAAACTAGATTTAAACAATGCCCCTCACTATATGTGAATATAAGTTAAAAATGAATGAATTTTCATTTTCAAGAAATTAACATCACTGCTTACTTGATACAAGAGACAGAAAAACCTTGCCAGGGTATATTTCCTTTCTTAGTTGCTACAATGATTACATGAATTGGTATGTGATAGACTCAGTGTTAGTTTTCCTTTCTGCTTTAGGGAGACCTGCTGGCCCTATTTAGGTCTGGAAATATTAAGGAAAACTCAGAGCAAGCTCTTCAGCAAATCCCCAGTAGTTATTGTGGCTGACTACAAATGCAGTCTTGACTAAGGAAGGAGGTGAGTCTTAAGCCATTTGTCTCCACTGCTGTAAAGTATCAGGATGACTGGGCCACTTGAGAGAGATCTTCAGGGTGGTTTAATACAGCAGTGATAATGAAAAGAAAGTAATTCTAGTTATCAAGAGCCAAGTCTATCACTAAGGCAGAATCATATCACCTTCATATGTGATCATATATGAATCTTCCCAGAAAGCCACTAATTTACAAGCTGTTTTCATAAAGTTAATTCATGTTTTTTTTATTTTTCTTACTGTGATAGCCTGTAGTAATTTCTATTTTAAACAGGATTATAATTGATGGGTTTTCTCCAAATGCAGTTCTCAAAAGGCTACTTTTATGCCCACTATTATTTGAATTCTAGCACAGATGGTGTTTATTAAATAAGTCATTAACTTCCTACTTGTTAGGTAGACAGCTAAAGATAGTGTCAGAGATTTAGCCTAGATGCAAAAAAATTCACAACTCCCACCTCAAAGTGCATCCCTTAGAGATTTTCAATTATAAAGCCTACTACAAGCGATTATGGACCAGGAACAGATCTCATACCCCAAATGCCATGTTCCAAGGTGATAATGGTTTTGTTGTGCCCAGATCGTGACCCCCAGAGAGACCACCAAAGACGAGCATGCCAGAATGCAAAAGCAAGGTTTAATTCTGGATATCCAAAAGCAATACAAGCCTAGGCAGGGACTTCGTCCAATACATCCAACACAGTGGAGGCTGGAGGAAGTGCCCACCTGTCTGCAAGCTCAGTTTTTAAAGGGAAAAGTCACAAGGTTACATCATTT